GCCCAGCGTGTAAGCTTGATCAACACTAATCGGAACATTCGGGGACTGTATAATCAAAGCAGGCGGTCGATCGTGAACCAACAAGATTCGGTCTTGTACACAAAGTAAAGGAGGAGAGTCACGATCCTCCAGAATGATAGATGAATTTGCCCGAGGCACACTTTCATACCTCTTGCAAAAATCCAGCACGATCGGGTCCGCGGACCCAACGTGAAGGGATAAGTGTAAACACTCAATTACCCTTCCACATTGGTAGTAACGGTCTCCTCAGTCCCGGGGACTACTATGCCCTGTGCCTTCCCAATCACAGTCCTTACGAACTATGGGAAGAACGTCCTCGGTCACAGAACATATATATCTCGAGACTCCTTCACCCCGGTCCTGTTTGCGCGAAGACTTCTCGACCTTGAAATCGTCTGCAATTGAGCAACCCCTAGGGATAAACGCCGACAAAGGAGGCGCGGGGGTGGTTCGTTAGCAGCCACAACAGGGGAAGCCATTTCGAGGGCCACCACCTCGGGGGCGGCTGCTTCAGTACCAGCGGCCGGTTGAGAAGATGAAGAGGCAACTTGTTGAGGAACGGTTTTTGATGTTTTTGCCATTGTCATCTGGGAGAGAGTTTGAAAATTTGAGAAATATTCACGAAGTTTTGGAAAAATGAATTTTACGGATGAAGAATAGGGTATGAAGATTTGAAGAAATTGTGGGTAGAAATCTGGAGAGTGCTGTGGAAATTAAAGAACATGGATGAAGATATGAAGAAGGTTTTGGTAATAGTTGGAATGCTTGAAGATAGCGATTTGATCAAAAAGTAGAAAAATGATAAAGGAATGAAGCTTTTATAGGGAAACAGCCGACGCTTCGCATTCGGAGGCAACCTGCCGGTGAGCGACACGTGTATGAAGTCAGAACGACGTAATTGATAGGACGTTTTAGCTCCCCGTCATAACTTACAAAGGAAGGAACCAGAGTCATATGTCGTTCCCATCGTTTCGGCTAGCCTACTCTCTGAGAAACGAGGGGACTATCTGTATACGAGTAATACCAAGCCCGCTGCATCAGTCGACTTCCCCGTGGGCCAAGCGGATCAGGAAGGTGACTGTAATGTATTAGAGTCAAAATGAAGAACCTCTCGTATTAGGGCTCGGGCAAACACATGGCCTCGGGGATAATTAGGGCCATATCCTCGAGGTCCGATTTAAGAATTGAGACTTCGGAGAACATTACCAAGCAGTTTTACGCGACTAACAATGGGTCGTGATGTCCGCACCTAACCGGATATTGCGGCATAAATCTCGGCCCGTATCAGCGGTGAATCAGTGATTAGCATAAAGAAAGATCTTTATCCTTTTTAGAATTGTACTTAGGGTGAAACTCCCATACTATATAAAGGAGAAACTAACTGTTCATTAAACATATTGTAACACGCATATTAAGGCAATATACTCTTATTTTCTCTATTATTCAAAGTTCTTACTTTGTTCATCAGTTCTTCATTAGTGTGAGCCCGGGATCGAAGGCAGTCATTTCATTAAGATGTTACTGAGTCCGGGGTCACTCCCCTTAATTGGTTCGACAATTTATTATATTATTTATCTGTTTAATCTAGCGCCATTTATCATTTGTATTGAATTAATCTGCATATCCTTCAAACCACATATATATTCAATTATTATCCGGTTTTTAGGGTAAACACTCGATAACATATATTATGCACACTTAACTTGACTCAAATCTAAGTCGAGACCTATTTTAACTTGTCTTAAATTTTGAGCCTTTACCCGGTTGAACTGCATGTTAATATTTCCAGCTAGCCCTACATCTTATTTAGCCATATTATTCAATCTATCGTAACAATGATATTACGTTAATTACAACCAAAAAAAATTGTACTTTGTTTTGTAGAGATAAGTATTGTATGTGGATAGGGGGAAGGCGACTACTAAGATAATCCTATTTAATTTAAGCTTCATCTTAGCCTTTCGTTAGTTTAATGTACGTATAGAAGTGTATAAAATAGTATATGAATTGAACGTTAAATACAAAAATTTTGGGAGGTTTTAGCGCCTGTGAAAGTAGCAAATTTTACAAATCACCATCAGGTGACGTATGTTTACGAAAAATGCTAGTAGTATTATAAAGGCAAAATATATATGTTGGTACCTAAACTATACCCCAAATCCTTGTTACATACTTTCTAAGGACATATATCATATTACACACGCAATCTTTTAAAATTGTACCTAGTACACCACTTTTTTCTTGACCAATTTTTGAGAATAAGCGTAGTGTCATGCACCAATAACGTCATGACACGTGTTAGTAATTTTTTTTTAAAAAAAATTAAACACTTAAACCAATTTCTCTTTCCTCGTCTCTTTCTCCCTCATAAGAAAGCCACCATACTTAAATTCTTCTTTCTTTAATGACCCACTTTCTTCATCATCTTTGTTCTTCTCTACTATACTATTTCTCCTTACTCTATAAAATTTTCACCATTTTTTAGTTTCTAGGTTTTGTTTGTTTTGTTTGCTGTGGAATCGCCATTGCTACTGATAGGTTTGCCACTATAACAGTGGCCGGGAAATGGAGGTCACCGTCGTTTGCCTTTTTTAATCAAACGAGACCAGATTTGAATGAAGAACACCAGCTTGCCCGAAAGATCTGATAACGCCACTCACACGAAGAAGATCTGAGCTCGTCGACCATGAACTGACATTGGAACTAACGACCTGGCAATGGAGTTCCCGGCTCGTTGCTTGAGGTCGTTGCCGGCATTACGAGTTATGGTTGACATATTCTTAAAGGAGATGCAAAAGGGAGGAGATGAGGAGGTTGCGGTTGTCGCCAGATTTCAGAGACGATAGGGGCTCCAAATGGGGAAGAAGGCATGGATATCTTTTTCTTTTCATTTAATTATTAAATCAACAAAAAAAAGGGGACAAATAAGATTTAGATATTGGTTTGACGCGCTCATTTTTTTTGTTAAACACGCGCGTGACATCTGGCAAAAGTAGTATGTATTAGGCACAATTTTAAAAGGTTGCGTGTTTAATATGGTATATGTCCTCAGAAAGTGTGTAACAGTGATTTGGTGTATAGTTTAGGTGCCAACTTATGTATTTTGACTATGATAAAACCAAGAGTCCAAGAGTGCCATCCATGCTTTTCAAATTTCACCCCAAGATCTTTATTTGAGCCAAAGACAACAAGAAAATCAATTTTCATACATAAAATTAGGTGGAGACCGGAGATTACAATATAAGGATTATTTCGACGATGAATAACAATAAAGGAGCTTAGGGGCCATGCGATAATACTCCTATATAATATTGTGCTTTCCAATTGCTCTAACTATTTTTTTGTTAGAAAAAAAATTAAAATAAATAAGAGAAACACAGTGTAAGTTACATAATTTACTTTCTCGATGAAATGATCCATGCTCACTTATAATTTTCTACAATTTTTTTTGATATTTTATTTACATATCTCTTTGTATTTTGTTTACCCAACTCCTATGAAAAAGATATCTAAAGTAGTAGGACTGTAGGAGTAGTAACACTATAAACTAAATATCGCACTTTCTCGTGTCCCTTATAAAATTTCCAAAGCTTGACTACTGGGGAATTTCAAACCTTTTTTAATCTTGTGTATATATGAAAATTCATCCAGCTTGACAAGTAGACTGGAATACGTCTGGCAAATCTTCTATCACTTCAAAATAAGGGTAAAATAAATATAATAATAGAATTAATAAAATGATATTGAATTTTTTATTTGTGAAGAAGAATCTTATGGAAGCATCTTTATATATGCTTGAATGAAAATTCTGCGATGCTCCTTTCCGAGAATCAGCAGGTACGATTTTTTTTACTGATCATTTTATGCAGCTAAGTTAGGAAATAATATACAATCAAATAAAGTCAAAAAATCACAAGGAATGTTCTGATCTTGTGACGATGTTGAAGTCGCGATCAGCTATTTCTTAAAAAATCTCAAAACAGCTGTTTTCTTTGTTTCTCTCATACCTTAATTTCTGGGTAAACGACCACTAAGGATGGAGATATTCCCCATTTTAACTATGCATTTGTCATCTCTCCAGTAGAGTCGTTGATTAGTATTGATTGGTAGCCCAAAAAATATTTAAGCATAAGTTATCTATAATAACATGTTAAACTGTTTCGGTAAATCTTATATTATCGGTATATGTAATTTAAATCTTTCATTAATTTGCCCAATTCTCTATTTTGCCCTCTCCACACGTTTTGGGGTCTCCACATTTAAGATTTTCTTGTCCTTTACATCTTTTAAGTTCGGTAGTTTGACTAATTTTATTTACCTAATTAAGTGACTAATATTGAAAGGGTTTATTATAATAAATACTTTTCGTAGCGCTTCTTAGATTTGCCGTTCCGCCGTCCAACAAATTGATGAGTTGGTGATAAATGATTTTTCTAGTTTATGTAACATAGAAAAACCTCACTCTTTAAATGTTTTTTAGTTTGGCAAGGAATTAAGTTCAGCCCTTCAACTAAACCATGATTCTTGATTTTTTTTATTTTTTATTTTTTGATTCAATCATACAAAGGTATATATTTTTGTTGTTTTGGTTATAACTAAAGTTTCTTTTAAATTAATCCATCGGTTAAGTAGTTGCTGGTACTTAGTATTTGATTTAACGAAACTATTTTAGTGGTTGCAAGCATTTTTTATAGAACTAACTCTTGATCTCCTCCATCCATTTACCTAACAAAGGTTTGTTTTTTGAAAATTATTTATTGTTCTAACGAATTTCTTATTGTCGAGTAATATACCATCCAAATAGACAATAGGTTGTCTTCGTTTAAATTGGCTAGGTGTTGATTTCTAATTATCTATTAATTGCTTTTAACTATTGACAAGTCAAAAATATTTAAAAAGTATATCTCTAAAAATAAATAAACAACGACAATCATAGTTTTCTTTGACAAATTCTCAGCAACCTACCACACTACAAAAAACATCGCCACTCACCTTTTTCTTTTAGTGAATAGTCAAGAAATTTTACTTCTTTCCCTTAAGCTTTCTTCTCTCCATTCCCCTCTTCCACCTATCCTTTTTCCAATCCAAATTCTTGCCTAAATCCAAAGGGGAAAATGCTAGGGATCAAGAAGTTTGTTTCAGTGAAGAAACTAGCCAAGAAGGCTAAGTTCATAACCAGTACTATTTATCGTCAGCGACCACAACATGTTGAGTACTTGCTTATTAAAGACGACGAAGATCAGTGGTCTCTTACAAATTCTAAATCCTCAACACCAACAGGAAACTTAGCTATCTACGTAGGGGAAGAACGTGAACGATTCGTGGTGCCAACGAGCTATCTTTCACATCCATTGTTCAAGATTTTGTTGGAGAAAACGTACAATGAGTTTGGCTTTGAGCAAAGAAGTGGACTGGTAGTGCCATGCAGTGTTAATGCATTTCAAGAAGTAGTCAATGCTGTGGAGTGCTGCAATGGGAAGTTTGATTTTGGTGAGTTGGTGGGGGAGTTTTTGTAGATATATGGATAATATAATGTTTTGTAACTTTAGATTACATTTCTAGTGCGAGCAGGGGCGAATTTTGGGGCGGAAGGGTTCATTCAACCCCCTTCGCCGAAAAATTACACTGTATATATAAGGCAAAATCTATTTTTTACCTCTATATATTAAGTTTTGAACCCCTTTACACAGCCCAAAAGTGTAGCTTAGTGGTCAAGAGGGTTCAAAATCTTTGAAAGGTCATAAGTTTAATTACCACTAGCTACGATTTTTTTTTTCTTGAACTCCTTCGCGGAGATCCTGGCTCCGCCAGTGAGTGTGCGAGCATATAACATGAAGAAATGGATCCCGAGCTTGGTAGAAGAGACACTAATTACTTAATTCAAATTATTCTTTAGAACTTGATTGAAATTTGGTAGGGTAAGATTTTGTGTGATTTGAGAATCTCAATATTCTTAGTAGGTTCCCATTTGTTTACCCCATGAGGTAAACTATAAAACGGGTGAGTTTGATAGAGTGACAAAACTTACTGTTATTATTCTGTATTGCTGTAATAAACAATTAAACTTTCTGAAAAAACAAAACAGAAAGTTAGTAATACTTGTTTAACAAAATAGATTATGGAAAACAAATAATTAAAAAAAATAGTATAGGAATAAATCGAGCCCACTGAATATACAGTGTGTCCTTAAGGAAATTATTCCCCTCAAGTACCCGAGGTGCTGGAATATATCCTCCTAGGATAGAACGATTTAACTCACCAGTGTATTGGTACCAAAACTCTGATGAACTGCGAACCACTCAATGGTCGTAAAACGCACTGGAAAAGATTGTGCAGAAGAAGAAGAAGAAGAAACTCAGAAAATTTCGTAAGGAAAGATTCTGGGATTCAAACTCTATTTATAGAGTTGATGGCAATGTTTCTGAACCTTTCAGAAACAGCCATGGAAAAGATTGTAAATATAGATTGATTAATCTATATTTACTACTTTGACCAAAAAGATTAATTAATCAATCAATCGATCTTTGACCGAATCCGAAGCCGAAGCCGTAGCCTAGCCGAGCGAGCGACGACGGCGCGAGGCTTGCCTTTTTCCTAACTCTTTAAGAGCTAGAAGAAGAGCAATTATATATATATACCCATCAAAAGCCTTTTCTTCCTCCGATATGGGACAATGTCCCTTTCCCAAGGAAAACTCAAATATTTTATTTTTTCTCCATTTCTCATTCACCCTCTTTAAGCTACACAAGCTTAAAATCCCAACAATCTCCCACATGAATGGGGAATGGCTATAAAATAAAGGAATGCACGGACGCGTGTGTGTTTTACATGCAAGAATTAATTGCATCTGGATAAGTAGGTTTCCCTTTGAACTTTCCGTAGTGAACTTATATCGGATATACTCGGTCAATCGGTAGATTTGATATCTTTGAACCGTCGAGCTTTGTTGTATACCTAGACAACATAAGTCACACAGTCAATCCTTAACCATCTATGGTTCTCACGGTTGTGTTCGTTTCAGCCATGAACACCGCCTGATTTCATGAGTGCTTAGAGAATGAACCTTTACTTTCATTCCCCTTGAAGCGGCTTACACTTCACACTCACATAGGTAATTTCTAAACGTGTAATCCTATAGACACACTATCTGGTCATATCCTACCAGACTTAGCAAATCATTAAAAAACTTGTAAGCTTTGTTGACTCATCAAAAAACCTTAATGCTTTACCTTGATTTCTGAACATTGTCTTCATCACGAGAATGGGTTGAGTTATTTGACAATGTTGAACCATAATTCATAACTTTCTTTGATCTCTTTGAACCTAGCTTGTGAGATCTCCAGTCTGCTAGGTAGAGTTACCGTCATGATGACTTGTCCTAGACCTTAACCCCATTCCCTTTGATGATCTTTCAACTGCCTCTCTAGATAGGCCTTTTGTAAGTGGATCCGACACGTTATCTCTTGACTTTATGTAGTCAATTGTGATAACACCACTAGAGAGTAGTTGTCTAACGGTATTGTGTCTCCGTCGTATATGACGAGATTTTCCGTTATACATAACGCTCCCTGCCCTGCCTATTGCC